ATTGTTTTAAATTTTGGATGTTTTATGTGTTTTAGATGTATTTATAGTTTTAATGTTTTTTTGTAAGTCCCCCAGAGTCCCCTATTGTGGGGAGATGGGCAGCGGAGAAATCCAATCAAATAAATAAATAAATATGATCTGTATGATCTATATGCAGGGTTTATTGTTCAAGGTCACTGCTTATATACCCTAATTATTTTGTCGGCCATATGACAAAATGAAAATACCATTCTCATTAGCTATTCAGTGGGGGAAGTCTCGTGAACTTTTTTACTTTTTTTTTTCTTCATGGCTTCATGCCAATATTGACTCCTGGTGACAGCCTGAACTTGTCCCTGCTTCAGAAGTTGTTTGCCATTGCCTCCTTCCTAGTGCTGAGAGAAAGTGACCGGCCCAAGGTTACCCAGCTGGCTTTGTCTCCTGGTTTCTAGTCTGATGCCTTAACCACTACACCAAACTAGCTCCCTTAATTAATCAATTAATTAATTACTTTTAATGGGAATTAACTGGCTTTTCACCTTTTGTATCCTTCTCTTATCTAAAACTTCAGTAGGACGTCTTGTTTAAGAGCTCATGAGAATATATGACATGGATGGATGAAAGGAAGGTTAGGACGCGTGGCCATCTGAAAACATGTGGGACTGACAACATCCAGTATAGCAGAAGTGGCAGTCACAACATTTGCACTTTGTTAGGAAAAGAGAGGAGAAAAATGGTCTACATGTAATACAGTTATCTAGTAATCTGAAGAAAAGAAGGAGAACAACCATTGAATTTTGGAAAGAAAACTGAACATCTACTGATGATTTAAACCTTGGGGATTGCTTGGACTTGAAAAAAAAGATGTTTAATATACTGTGTATAAATGTAAATTGCAGTTATTTTCTGTTGGTTACAGGATGACTATTAAATCTCTGCCCTTCCCCCCCCCGCCTTTTTAAGAGGCACAGCAAATTCAGGAATGCACTGATTTTTATAACTATTCAAAATTCTTTCACAACCTATTATTCAAGTAAGCCAAACATGGTTGCACACAGACATTCTTTAGAACCTCGTTTCTGTATATTTGTGTGCCCACATTTGTCAGAAAACAACCTATTTCTCCACTAGACATTTATAATGGCTTCTAGCATCATCCAGTCATTGCTAGGGTGATATAAAGTCTGTCTTCATTACATGTATAACAATACAGAGATTATTAGAAGGTTCTTTATAAGATGTTATAAATCACTAGTGAGGAAATGGCCTAGATGTGTAATCTTGGGAATGTTCAAGAAATGTAAATGTGAGCAGTATGAAAATGTAAACAGGAGTGGGGACCCCATGGCACTCCAGATATTGTTGGACATTAATTTACCCATGTTTAGCCAGCATATCCAGTGTTCAAGGACAGCAAAAATGAGACAAAGCCTCTGCCCAGTTCAGAAATCCAAATTAAAGCAGCCTCAAAAGATAGCCGTCCAGCCGCAGTTTGAGTGCCTCCTATGAGGGGATCCCATCAATTCCCTGGATACTTGATTCTTTGAATTGTTCTTACTGATAGGATTTTTCCCCCCTTCAGAAGGAATCTGCCTTCAGTTCATTATTCTGTGTCCTGCATTCTGGAACATGTGGGTATGGAATTTATTTTGTGTGAAGAGTTCCTAATGTGGTGTCCTCCAGATGTATTGAATGTCAGCTCCCATAGTCTCTCAGCTAGCATGCTCAATGGCCCTTCTGGCTGAGGAGATGATAAAAGCTGACATCTGAAAAATCTGGAGGACACTAGGATGAGGGAAGCTTGGTTTAGAGCCTATGAAACAAGCCCTAACAGGGACCATACCATAAGGTTATGAAACTCTACAAAATCATTTTTCCCCAACAGCAGACCATAATGGGAGAATTTTTTGGCAATCCCACATGCAGTGAACTATCTTGGCTTTTGACTAGTGGGTTTCCTTGTGTAGTTGGTTGGCCATTGTGAGAACAGATTGCTGGACTAAATGGGCCAGGGGTCTAGTCCAGCAGGACACTGCTTATGTTCTTAACTTGTTGGTCGTGGCTTTTTAATTTCAGGGAAAGCAAGACTGAGTTGTAACAATGACTTTTTTGGATTGTGGACCTTGAAGGTTTACTGTACATAGGTGGAAGTTTGAAACTGGGCAAAAACATTTTCTTCTTTTTTAAATCTGTGTTGAATCATTTCACAAGTTTACTGTAAAGCAAATCTTTGTCTCATGGATCAGCAGCACCCACTGCTGGCTTCTCTAATATATCACATACAACGCATGTGTCTTCAAACTCTTCTTTGCATACTGTGATCTTTTTCTTTCTTTTGTTCACCACACTTATTTTGTATGAATTCAAATTACTTGTTTGAATATGCAGTGTAAAAAGTCTACTTTTTGTAATTTGTAAAGAATTACATACAATACAATTTGTAAAGAATGTTGTTAAAAATATTTTTGTTCATGCGGCCTTCCCTTCAGCCCCTTAAGCCTACTGTTAACAATGCTAGAGAATCAGAGACCATGCCAAGTTCTTCTGTCACTTTGTCTTGCTATTTTGTGAAAACCCATATTTTTTAGTTCTCTCAAAGAGTATATTGCATCGGATCAATGACTCCTTTGGTTTGGTAGTCTTTCCTTCAAGGAACTCCTCTCGGATCCTGTTGGATTAGAGCAGCATATAAGCCCCAGTAAATTGATAAAAATACATAAACTTTTTAACAATGCTGATTTTCAATTAATATTTCCTAGTCCCCTCATTAAAATGCATACCCTTTGTATGAGAGTTTTTGGTTCGATTAGGCCAAAGTCTCTCTGGTCCTCCTTCCCTCTGCTCCAGCAGTAATCAACTTGTGGCTGTGCTCACAAGAAGGATATGAAGTGATAGTTTCCTTTCTTAGTTGCTCCACATCCAAGTAATAAATTGATACTGTTTTCTGCCAGAATATTTTGGTCTAAAATTGCACTCCATGTTCTATTAGGGCTTATATTAAGGCTTTGAAAAAAAGATGCTTTGGACCTGCTGGAAAGTCCTTAAACCAAACATCTTTTCACAAGGTTGCACTGCAACTGGGGAAGGCAGATGTGCCATCTGTCCTGAAAAAGGATGCAGTTGCTATTAGGAGTTGCCAGCAGATCCTTTGTGAGTGCCTCAGTGGACTCTGGAGTGGTTTTTTTTTTCCTTCTCCTTCAAACTGAAGCACCGCACAGCTCTACTTTTTACTACCTCCTGCTTCCAGTTTAATGATCAATTCATATCTTATATTTTTCTTGTCAGGAAAAAAAAGCACAGTATCCAGAGGCATGTTTGGAAATTGTGTGAGTCCTGAGCCTGCATAATGTATGGGGGCCAATACTTGCTAATCCCCTCTTGAAGCCTGGTTCAGAGAAAGTGGATTCAAATGGTTTGGGGCAGCAACCCAGATACTCTGTGTTGCGTGGCTTAGTCAATTTCGTGCAGGCAGGCAGTATTTTCTTACCGGAAATGCAAAATTTCTAAAGACAGTCTATCCGCGGTCCAAAACAAAAATGCAAGGGATGGAGGGATTGTGAACCAGTAAGTGGAATTCAGAAACTTTGGAAGATGAAATCGGTGAGCTTTCTGCACAAGGGAATAATAACTGGATCCACATAGGTTAAGACTAAGCAGTAGTAGTCTTTCACTCAAGCCAGGGAGCATTATTTACAGACTAACAACAATATTCAGTCTAAGGGCAGATTTGCACTTTTTGCTTGCAAACATGACCTTTACCTCGGTCTTTCTGCGTTGCCTCAAAACTAGTGTTTCCCACTTTCTGACAGAAGAAAGGTTGATGTCTGGTTTCTTTTCTGTGCTTTATTGTCTTACAGGGAAATGCCTCCATTCTAACTGACAGGAATGTCCCCTTCCCTCTGGTCCCTACTCAGAGTCCTCCACAGCTATTTTAACTTGGGCTGTTAAGCTTAATGTCCCTCTCAGAATCTTCCAAGGGTTAAATACACAACCATTAGCTTCCCTGAAGAGGAAGAGTTCGTGTAACCCACCAGATCTTTCACTGAACCAGGAGAGTTCACATGATCCATCAGATCAGCCCGTTATTCAGGCTGGTGCATTATCAAAATAGTCCTTTCGTTTTATTTAGTACTTATATTTATTTTGGGAAAAGCATTTCTGCTTAGCTTAATTTTTTAAAAATCCATCCTCCAATAGGCTGTTGAAATATTTGGCCTAGCTAGCTAGCTAGCTTTTCTCCCCAACCCCAGGAAAATGCAGTGATATCTTTTCTTCACACTTGCAGAGCTGTTTGGGAGCTGGGGTGAAATTGACAACAGTTTGCTAGTTTCCTATGCCAAGTGACAGCAAGAAGGATGAAAGAGTCCTCTAGGGAATCAGTTTAAAAAGAGAAACAGCAAAATGGAAAAGCTAAGGGAAAGAAAAATAATTAGGGGGAAAATGTAATTTCTGTCCAATTTTGAACTGGGGACCTTTTGCATGTGAAGCAAACATAACCTCTATTCCACTGGAACATCACTTGGAGCAAACTTAAGAAAACGCAAGAAAATAACTTTTCTTTGGAAGTTGGCTGCTGTACATGTGCTTATTGATACTTTCTCTTTGTAAATGGCATTATGTTTTTCAGTTTTAAAAAAATGCCCTGTAAGTCCTACACATGGGAAGTGGTGGTAGCTTTCCAGGTATGGATGGGAGGAATAAAGAAGCAAGAGAATCTACTGGTTGGGGGCCATGTTAATAGTGGAGTGGACAGAATATCTGGCCATCCTTATGGCCGAAGTGGAGAAAGTGAAATCTGGAAAGAGATTTCTTAACACCAGTTTCATTCCCAGCCAGCTTGTCCTTGGGAGACAAGCAGCTGTCATTCAGGACAGCCTTAAGCCATAATTAACCTGCCTTGTGGCAAAGTATAATGTGTGAATCCATATCTGCTCAGAACACTATAATGTTGCTAAGTATACAGAATCTCTCTTTCAACATGCTAAAGTTCCATTCAGTTCCACAGGAAGCATCCCTCTGTTGCAAAGTATAATGCTCCCTTGGTGATACATTACGACTTTGGAATACTACACACTTCAAGTAATGCAATCCAATCCAGCAAGTCAAATAATGCAGTTATTTAAAGCAGTACAACATCTGCCTCTTTACAGTAAATGTATATAAGTAGAAGGATAAAGATAAACGTTTGTGGAAGAAAGAGAAATTGAACTTTAGGGGGCACTGTTTACTGTTAGGATTGTTAACTTTCTAGTTAGAATCAACTAGAAAATGTTTGAGAAAGAATTATCTCAAAAATGCAGTTTTCTATCAGGAAGAAAATTTTGATAGGCTTATTGTTGTACTATTCATCTGTGGATCCAATTCTGCTAAACTTGGCTGTGACAAAGTCCCATTTGAAAATAATAAAGATTTCAACTTGTATCTTAACATGTCAGTGCGTGTTTCACGATTAAGTGTAGCCAGATGGAGAATCTGGGGACAAAACAGAACTGAACAGTGTACCAGCATCTCAGCAAGTGAAACAACACACAATATTATGGTTACCTGATTGGGATTGCAAAAATCCTGATTATTGCAAGATAGCAAGAAAGAATTACCATAACTATCTCCTAGTTGCCACTCAGTGGGTGTTTGCACTCTTGTAGCTCAAATTTGGTTGCTCTAATTAATGGAACAGGAATGCTGTGGTTATTACATTATAAGGAACTAAGATCAGGTTGAATTCTCATATGATGTGATATATTGACCTTATCTGTCAGTGCTTAATGTGTTCAAATGTGATAAGTTCTGAATTTTACCATCCCATAGTTAGTTGAAAATTAACTCCAGAACATGATAAATCTCAATTCATGACACTTGACCAAAAAACTCACAGAGTGAAAACACCATTAATGCAGAGAGAGTTTTCAAAAGTCCTAATAAAAAAGCAGTTTTCCTAACATGTTTAATGGCTCGGGGGGTGGGGGGAGACAAAAATCTATATTCAACTTTTACATTTTACAAAGCTGTCTATTCATGTAAGTTGGGCATGACATTTTAAATTATCATACGTGAGACATTCTCTGGTAATGTGCTTCAGCCTTATCTATAAAGGATAAGACAAAACATGTTAGAGAAAAAATTCAGTGAACATGGATGCAAGCACCATGATATTGCCCAAGCCTATGATGCCCATGGAAAGCAGAACATATAACCTCTGACCAAGTTTGTTATGAATTCCAACTTCTATGAATGCAAAATGGCAGCTACTCTGGGCTTTGGATATTACAATAAGCCAAATACTGTATTTTTGTTAATGGAACATGTGTAACCATGTGCGTGTAAAATAGTGGCCCACATAGATGGCCTTTTTGGCATGGCACATCATGTCAGCAAAGCAATTGTCACGTACTAGTGCCAAGGCAAAAATTAATCCTCAACTAGCGTATATTTCAACCACAAAAGAAGCAAGAAAAAAGAAATAATAAATTAAGAGTCAGGACTATTAACAAAAGATGGTTGGGCATTCAAAAGATTAATGGGAGAACACATTCAGAGCGTCACATTGGATTCATTTGGGCTAATCTTCTCAATCTGGGCATCCTGCCAGAAGTATGATTTTAACTCCCTGAGTCAGCAAAGCAATTGCTGGAAATTCTGCGAGTCGAAGTCCACCCGCGTAGAGAATGGCTGGTTGCCTAACTGGTCGGCTTGATCGTTGACTTAAGATGGGAAAGGCTCGTAATTGGAAGAAATGGAATAAAACTCTGGCTTCGTCTAGTTGCTGAATCTTCATAAGTGTTCCTTTTTGCCTAAAATTTAATGTAAAAATAGCTGTTTTGTGTGAACAAGCATTATAAGGTCACTTCTCTGATGCCAACATAAAAGATTTTTGTCATTTAAAAAATGATAAGATAACAGCCCTATTCTGGAAATAAGCAATCTCAGCATGTAAACTGGGAGCTACCTAGCTGGGGCCCCCTGTCACTCACAAGATATGACGTCACTGGAGGACTCCATGTGTTCAGTGTGAATATCTGAAGGGTAGTGACTTTTTTTTTTTAATTTCCCTTTATCATTTTCTCTTAATACCCTCTACACTTTTATTTGCTGAATATATAATAAAGAAGTCTACACAGTGAAGGAATCAATCACTTACATCCTATCTAAAAGAGACATCTGTTTTGCTAGTGATTGTGTGTATGCATGGAAAAAGATCTCACAAAATTAACATTTTCAATATAAAATAATGAGTACTGGATATCCAATCACTAATCTTTTCACAATGATAAACCACCTAATACTGTACAAGATTTCACTATGTAAGAAGAAACATGCTATGTTGGGCAGTGTGTATCAAAGGCTTTGTAAGCTTTTGATTTTCCTGATTTTGTTTGAATAATGCAGATTGGAAGGAGCGGTTGGAAACTCAAGTTTCATTTTGGATCCAGATCTGGACTGGGGAACAGGGAAGAAATGGTTTTGGAGCCTTGGGGTTCAGAGTTAGAAATGCAGTCAAGCTTTGGGATTTAATGTTTGCAGAGGTTAGAAATGTAGTCTTATCAAGGAATTTGTAGAAAAAGGAATCAGTCTTTTAAATATTCATTTTATTTAGCATATTGAATTCAAAGACATGTATCTTAAATATAGTTTATCCTGATTAAACATTTACCTACTGCATCAGAGGATTCCTGTCCACCCCCACCTCCTTCTCTGATCTGTCCAACATTTTCTTTACAAGGTATTTAAGGATATCAGAAGCCAAGTGCAGCAACACTGAATACAGGTAGACCTCGACTTATGGTCATTTGTTTAACAACCATTGGAAGTTACAATGGTGCTGAAAAAAGTGACTTATGACCAGTCCTTGCACTTACAACTGTCGCAGCATCCCTGTGGTCATGTGATCAAAATTTGAGCGCTTGGCAATCAGCATGTATTTATGACAGTTGCAGTGTCCCAGGGTCATGTGATCGCCATTTGCGACCTTCCCAGGGGCCTTCTGGCAAGCATAATCAATGGGGGAAGCCAGAGTTGCTTAATGACCATGTGATTTGCTTAACGACCATGGTGATTCATTTAATGACCATGGCAAAAGTTGTAAAATCGGGTGTGACTTACTTAATGACCGCATTGCTTAGTGATGGGAGTTCTGGTCCCAATTGTGGTCGTAAGTTGAGGACTACCTGTACAGTTTGACACAATATTTCCTTATATAACTGGCAGAAAAGTAGCTATGAAGCCTTCACACAGAGACCTTCAGTCCAATATGAAGTGAGACATTATCTGAGAGAATAAGGGACATCCTAAATGGCAAGGGCACAGCAAGGGCCCTTACAGATGGACTGCTAGCAGCATAGAAGGGGTTTTTCTGTGGTAAAAAGTAATGAAGATATGGGAGGTTACAAATGGCAGATGATACTGTAAAATTCCATAGGGAGGCAGGTGAATTGCACAATGAAGGTTTCGTTTTGAAGCACTCCCAGTTTAGAGAATTATTCACATTTAGCAACTGAGGGAGGAGGCTGGACTAGTGCTGGGTCTTCCATTCACTAGAGTCAGGTTATGAACAACCTCATTTAACCTCTCAGTTTTTCCTTAAAAACCCACTTGATGTAAAGCCAATTTAAAGTATGATTTATTTTGTTTCCATGATATCTTCTGTTTCTGTGAAAGGCAAGTCATGGGGTTGCATTACAAAAGGGACCAGGGCCCCACAAAAACAGATTTTAAAATGGGATGAAAATGAAATTACATGAATTAAATATTAACATTCTTACTTTTAATTAATTTAATTAACACACACTCTGATAGGAAGCCACATCCCTTTGCATCTTAGTTGATTCTCAAAAATAAAATAAATTTCAAACCATGAAGCATCCTGAAAAGAGGCAATGGGAAATCATATATGAACCACCCTTAGAATTGGCAATGGAGATATTGAAGTGGTGGATAGCTTCTGCCTTTTAGGATCAGCCATCAACAGTAAAGGAACAGTCAGTCATGAAATATGCTGCGGGCTAGCACTTGGTAGAGCAGCCATGAAGGCCTTGGAAAAGATATTCAAATGCCATGATGTGTCTATACCTATAAAGATCAGAATTGTGCAAACCATGGAACGTCCCTGTGACACTATGGAAGCAAAAGTTGGACATTAAAGAAACAGGATAGGAAGAGTATTGATTCTTTTGAACTTTGGTGTTGGAGAAGACTCCTGAGAATATCGTGGAAGCCAAAAAAACAAACCCATGGATCACCAAACAAATCAACCCAGAGTTCTCACTCAAGACACAGATGACCAGGCTCAAATTATCCTATTTTGGACACATTATGCGAAGACCCAGCTCTCTAGAAAAGGTGCTAATGCTGGGAAAGGTAGAAGGAAAGAGAAGAAGAGGATGACCAGCAGCAAGGAGGATGGACTCAGTTACCGAGGTGATGAATGCACCGTTGGGAGACCTGAAAGAACAGGTTAAGGAACAGGTTTGGAAAAAAATCTGTCTATGCAGTCATTAGGAGTTGAAAATGACTTGATGGCACATCATTATTATTCTCTCTCTCTCACACACACACACATATAAATCTTCCACTCTAATATGCATGCAAACAGACATCCCTATACAGAAGGGTGGTAGGATAAAGCAGAGAGAACTGGATATTGTAATACTACCATAAGATGCCACCTATGTACAGGAGGGTGATAGTAGCACACTTTCAGGGGTCATGAGTTTTGGCTCTGAAATGCAAAATGTCCTAAGAAAAGGGAGTACATTATGAATTAATGAAGAGGAGTAACTCTGGATTTAGAAAGATCATGTGGGAGGAACTCTGCAACCAGCTGAGAGCAATCTTATCTGAAACTACCTGACATTTTAAAGAATTTCTGAACTGACGCTTGCAAGTGCTTTATGTTAAACTGTGAAAGAGCTCTGAACTCTCTTGCACAGTTCAGTAGCTTCAGCTGCAAAGGGATCGATGGGAGAAAGACATGACAAAGAAGGAGACGGGAGGACTAATAGATTCTCTGTAAAAGGAGGCAAGGAGGAAGAGCTATGTAAAAAAGTTGCCTTATTGTATGAAAGGTGATTCACACTGAGAAGCTATTTCCAAATCTTCCCAGATAAAATATCTAAATAAATCAAAAGGTGAATCCATAGTTTCAATACTGCTGAGTCCATGCAAAAGATAGTAGTAAAGAGTGAAATATTAAAAAAAATCAACACCACATTGTTCATTAAAGTGTAAATTTAAACTGCAATTTGTAAGTTACAGTTTATAGTAGGGAATTGTTAAAGGTAAGTGGAAAGCGGGTGGGGGTGGGGTCAAAACATCTTTAGGAAAAATCATCAAAATGCAATCATTAATCCAGTAGATGGCTGATTAAGGAAGATTCAAATACAGGAATC